ACATACATAGCAGACTCTGATTCCGTATGTCCAGTGTTGTGCTGGTTATTGTTGCTTGCCGTCAAGTGGGAACCAATCCACAGCCGACTCTGTAGCAGGCTTTCAAAGTCAGTTAATCACACCGGAAGAGGCTACCCATCCTTCTCCCAAGAAGCATCTGATGGATTCGAACTATGTGCCTTCAGGATAGCAGGGCAACATGTTGTGGTTGTGCACCCCTGAGTCAGATGTGACCTACAGCTGACTCTCTAGCAGGATTTCAGAGCTATTAACTGCACGGGAGGAGACTGTCCATCCTACTCCCAAGGAGCAAATGGTGGATTCAAACCACAGGCCTTCAGGATTGCAGTTCAGCTTCTTGCCACTAGACCATGAGAGCAGTATGTGGAAATGTAAATTATCAATAAAGGGTCAAACCCATTCTTTCCTTAAACCTTGGTCTGTCTTAAGGCTGAAAAAATTATTTCCTCACTAATCAGGCAGTCAAATTTATGATACAACATCCCTGTTTCTGCAGGCTTCTCTCAAAGATTTGCAACTGGAGCACATTTCAGACCCAGTCTGCTTAGGCTGCACTCAGATTATTTTACTCCCATATGGTCAGAGTCTGCTACTACTATGGAGTCAAAGCCATCCACACTCACATGGAGGGCCTAGCACCCAGGTAGGAAGTTGCTGGCCCCCACCTTAGCCTCGTAACTGGGCAAGTGTTTGAGCAAACATGTATGTGTAAAAACACATATGCACACATACACTTTTAAGTCCTATTTTTTACTTCTTTTCTTCAATGCCCAAGCTACCTCTTGCATTAGTTCTGCAGTTGAGAGTTCTACACCAGTGCCCTAAAGAACAAAGTTTTGTTTTGTTCGAAAAAGAAATGAATGAAGTCTTCAAACAGTTAAAAAAACAAAACAAAACAAAAACACCTGGGAAGACTTAAAGGAAGTCTACTGGTGAATGGAGTTACATGTTGGGCTGCTAATTAAAGATCCATGTTCCAAATGGAGGGGGAAAGATGGGCAATCTCCCCATGTGAGTACAGTCTCTAAGAATTCACTGCAGGGTCAACTCCAACCGGATGACAATGAGAGAGCCACTTCTTTAGAACCCATCAGTCCCTCCTGGGCGGTGGAAGAAAATGTAGTCTGCTCCCAGTAAGACTGACAGATGAGGAAACCCGAAGAAGGCTCCCCCTGAATAAACTCGGCTACGGTAGATTGGGTTTGGTGTAGAAGACTAAAAAGTCAGTTGCATGGACTTATGGCATCAAATAAAAAATAATTCCCTTTGCATAAAATTTGCAACCATCTTTGTTGCTATGAAAATAAACGTTGTTAGCAGTGTTCCAAGTCATGCATGACCTTCACCAGAAAAACATCTCACCAGAGAGGCTGGTTGTGTATGTATGTGAAGCCCCTGTGCACATACACCTTGCCCACAGACCTTGTGTGTTAAGAGCATATACAGAGAGAGGCTCTTGGCATCCCAAACACAAAAGCTATGATGAATGCAAAGGAAGAAATGTGCCTTTACTGCAAACATCCTGTGTGCTTTTATTCCCAATTTACCCACACAAAAGTCTCACATAGTTGAAGAAACAACAAACATCTCCCCACTTCCCCCTCCCAAGTAACGGCAAGAGAAAACCCTGAAGAGACCAGCAGAACAAAACCTCTAGCAGCCTGATCCAGCCAACCCTGGCGAGCAAGCGACTTGTTTGCATGAGGTTCAGATAACAAGGGAAAGCTGAGGGCAGCAGGGCAAAGCAGCGCGCTGGGTGCCTTATGCCTCCACTCTTAGTAATCAAAATGAATTCAATTTCCTAGGCTTGTCCTCTCCTGGGCCTCCATCTGCTTCCTGCAAATCACCTGTTGACGCCTGTTACCTGACCCCATCAGAGTCAGGTTTGTCATCAGCCAAGGCTCAAAGTGTCAACATGCCACCACCAGGTGGAATGAATTCTTTCTCCTCCTTACTGTTCTTGGATGACAGTCAAGACCCTATTCCCTAGGGCTACAAAATGAACTTCTCATGTGGGTATCACCCCAATGACCACTCGAGTTCTTGACTTCCAGAAGAAATAAAATATTCAACTCCTAGAAGGCCGGCCTCGCTTCTCTGCAAGCTGAAAATGCCAAGACTTTCCCATCTACAGCACAGAAAGTTCTGTCAGTGTTTGCCACATATGAAAAATGCGCTCTGTGAGGTGAAGTCAGTTTGAGGAAACTGAAGGTAGCTGCTGGTATACCAATCACCTCCTTTAAAAATACAGAGCCAAGAAGAGATGACAAGCATTCTCATGTAGTAGAGATAGATCCAGATACTTTATCTTTCTGCATTTGCATTTTAGACCAATAATATTTTATCTGTGTGCATTTGCATTTAAACATTCTCCTTTCAATGTCCTAACAAATTCCTTCCAAAGAAGCTCTGGGAAAAAACTGACCACTGAGTCTTTCTCCGTTACCCATCTCTAAAGGGTACACTCTGCAATCAGCCCTCAAAAACAGATCTAACAAACACATTTTATTAAAAAACAATGTCTAAACCAAAAAGAAAACATTCTTTTGGCTACAAAATTCATCTGCAGCACACATGTCGTGGGTAAAGACAAGAGACACAAATTTCTATGCTTTTCAACTTATAAGAAGCAACAGAGATATATTTGATTTTTCAAAGCCTTGTTAAGTCCCATTACCCAAGGAAGAGAGTCTGAAGATGTCTCTCTAATAACCAAACAACTGACGAGACCCAATACTTGGAGGGGAAAAAATGCTGGTTGTACTTCCCTGTGACAATAAACTCTTGGGTCTACGGAGAAGGCTTATGCATAGCAGAGGGCACCCAGCCTCTGGCCTTCAGTAACTTTAACCCTCGGCCAGGAATGAGAGATTGGTCGTAGCCTCAGAAAGAACCTGGTTCCATATCCAGACGTGGCCGTCCAACAGCCAAATCCTTATTCAATTCTATCTTCATCAAACTTGCTCACTGACAAAGTCTTGGTTTTACTCCAGTTTCAGGTCATCAGCAAGTAACAATTTAGCGCCTTCAACCTTAAAAAGTGGAAGGGGGGAACCCTCTTCCCGTTTAGACAGGACTGTTCTTGGATCAAAGACAGAACTTTTTTGGAATTTAAGTTGGGACCACCTGACAAGACAGGAGACAGCAGCAGTGTAGGTATTTGCCAGTGCTGAGTCATTACAAGCTATTTCTTCTGATATTTTGTGTACTCGGGGGCCAAGAGAACACCAAACTCCCCTTTCTGACAGCAAATAAAAGAGAAGTGCATCGTGTACAATGATGCAACCCCTCTGTGGACAGAGACCACTGTGGGGAATTCATGTCTAAGAGAGGGTAGCAAGAACTACCAAACTCGCAGGTATTCTCTACGTACAGTAACTTTATCCTAGGCGCTTAAAAATGGCTATTGGGGTCCCCGTGGAGTCTTCCTGCAATCCCAGCTCTGATGAGGGCCAGCGTTGGTCACATTTAACTCTAAGCTGTTATAGCTCTCGGTAATTGGCGGATGGAGAAAGTGCTTGGAGAAAATGATGCATAATGGATTTGTTCTCCAAGTGGATGAAACAGGGAGCAGAGGACGCAGGATGCTAACTGGCTTTTCTTCCCATGTGCAGGTCACCTGAAGCTGCACTCTCTAACTGGGTTCCGGAACTCCCTATCTGGGTCCCGCTTCCTGGGGGGTCGGGGAAGAAGGGTTTGGCGCCCACCTGCCCGCTCCCTCTCCGGCAGCCCCAGCTCCAGCCGGCTGGCGGGTGGCTGCTGGCATCCGCGGTCCCCGCCCGCTCCTCGCAGGCTCGGCGGCGCGCAGCCCTGCCGGCAGCTCCCCCGGCGGCCGCCTCTGCACCAACTCGCCACCCTCCACGCCGGGCTGAGGTCATGCCCGTCCGCCCCGGCGCCGGCGCCCCCTGATCGGCCCGGGCGGCCGCTCCCGGTAGCGCGTCCGGAAAAGGGGCTTGGCGCGCAGTTGGCAAGGGGACTCACCAGGTAGGCGCCCACCGTGCCCTGCGCCAGCATCAGGGCGCACTCGGACACTAGGAAGATCTTGATGTTGGAGAAGCAGGACACCTTCTTTTTCTTCTTCTTGTTCCTCTGCGCCTCGTCCCCTTGCAGCTCGGCGCTCCGGCCGCCGCCCGACGAGCCGCCCGGCTTCTTCCCCTGCATCCTTCCCCGCTGCCGCTGCCGCCGCCGCTTTCCCGCTCGTCCCGGGTGTCCGGGCCGGTGCCAGGCGGGGGTGCGCGCCGCGAGCGTGCGTGCTGTCCCCGCCCCGAGCCGCGGCGGCTGCCTCGCTCCTGACGCGGGATGAGGGTGGAAAGCTCAGATCCGCGCGCCGCGCTCGCCCCCTGCCTGCTCCCCGCCTCCGCCACCTCTGCCCGCCCCGCGCCGCCTCCTCAGCTCGCGCTGTGCCAATCACAGGCGCCCCTGCGCCGCCGCTGCCGCCTCGCCTCCCGCACGCGTCCGCCGCTTCTGCCCGCTACCCCGCGCCCGCTGGCCCTAGCTTCCTCCGCCCCACGGCCCTGCGCCCAGGCCGCCGCCCGCCCCACCGCGCCGCTCCCCGCCGCTAGGCCGTCCGCCGGGGAAGCGTGAGGGGACCTGGACCTGGGCGAGGAGAGTGCGCGGAAGGACTGGAAGGGCCGGGTTTGCGGGGAGGGCTCGGGAGAGCGGCGCCTGCGAGGGAAAGAGCGGGGTGCCCGGCCCGCAGGTGGCGCTGTGGGGCATGGGGCGCCGAGGCGGCGAAGGGCGGGACTGCAGGAAGGAGCCCCTGCAAGATAGGGGGATACTGAAGCACTCCCCGGGGGCGGGCACGTAGTGCTGGGAATCTGGGGCACTGGGGCTGACGGAGGGGGTGTTTCCAGGAAAGGAATACAGAGGACCCCGAAAGAAGTTGGCACACTCCCTCTCTCTCAACTAGAGTATTTTGGGGGACAGGTGTTGAGTTCTGGGGCTTGGGAACGTATCAGAGGTTAGAGCTGCTTGACGATAATGTCTCTGCCTGACCCTTGTTTCTGCTCTCCTTACCACTGACTGATACAGAAAAGAGAGAAAGGAACTGAAGCATTCCAAAGGGGAAGTTAAGATTAATCGTCTGCGCTTCGCAGACAAAGTCGCCCCCAGCCACAGGTCTAAAGAGACTGCAAGGTCGCAGTGACCCCAGCAGAGGGCCTTATCTGGCCTTCCAAATGCCTGGGAGCCTGGGGAGGATGGTGTCTCTGAGGCTGAGGACGGCCCAGGAAGGCTAGCCCCAGCCCGCTGTGGTCCCCACCCTTCCTCTCTCCCACTCGTGGCCGGCCACTTCTCGCTCCCTGGCTCAACTGCCTGGTGGCAGCCACCGTTTAAGCAGCCTCTGCTCTCCGCGTCGCCAAGGAGTTTAAGCCACAGGGCGCTACAGACAGATCTGTTACTTCCTCCTCCTCAGCTTCTGGAAGCTCCAAGAAAACGGAACAGAATGAGTACCAGGAAGCGTTCACTAATTTAATTGTATCCAAGAAAATAATCTGCCTTCCTGTACTCCACAAGGTTAAATGAAAATGAAAGCGGAATGCTAACTAGCATTCCCATAATTTTTACTTTCTCTCAAAGAACTTGAATGAGAGTATGCAGTGAAATGGTGGCAGTGCTGTTTTGCCGGATCATTTAAATAAGCAGTGCTTCATCCCTTTTTTGAGGCTCCAGACATGATCTCATTGAGCTCCTGCCCCTCCCTCTCCTGGACGGGGCCACCCCACACCTGAATTAACAGTCCTTTTCCCACATCTTTTTCCATTTTCTCCAATTCCTGTCATCCCTGGCTGCACTCATCCTAAGGAGGCTTATTATCAGAATCCTTAATGTTTTCCCTCCTTTAAGCCCTAGGACCCTCCCTTCATTCGTGTGGAAAGGGCCCGTGCCAGTGTTTTCTGGTCACCCCCCTTTTCACTCTTACCATTCTAAAGCTTGGGATACCTCTTCCCCACTTTTCCCTGATAAGAACTTTGATGAGCTAGTTTGCTTCCCAGCCTCTGACTGAGAGCCACAAAGCTGACCTGACACTCCCTTTGTTTCTCAGTATTGATCCTATTGCTGTGGTAGTGGGACTCTGTGTACTTTGTAGTCTCCAAACATTAGCATTCTTTGTGATAGCAAGATCTTGTATTTGTTGCCTGGTTATTCACATTAACTGTTTACATCTCAAAACAATCCCCTAAGCCCTGAATGAAAACATTGAGATCCAGAGTGACTAACTTAATCTGACCCAGGTCACTTGGCTAGTAAATGGCAAGATGAGTCTTTGACCCAGAGTATCTACTTTCAGAGCCCAGGATTTTAAGAACTATCTCTGAACTGTATCGTTATCATCCAGTGATCTCCTGGGGAAGGTGAGACTCAAGTTCCTGAATGGAGATTCTGAGAGATGTAATGATTTGCTCAGTGCTGAACAGCTAAAATCCCAGCTTTAGCTCTCTGCTCTACACCACATTGACTAAGAAACAGTCTGAAAGAAGACTTTTATTGTTTTGTTTCATTGTAGCTTTATGTTAGATTTATTTTTTCATTTTCATGAGACAATTTTTTAGCTAACCACAAGAGTATTCTGAGTTGGGATAGTACTCCACTGCCTGCGAGGAAATTTCAACTCAGAGCAACCCCCTGACAATTTTTTAAGATGCATTCATAATAATAGGTGACAGGAATGCAAAAGTTGGGGACAGAGAAGAAGGATCAGTAGTTGAAAATATAGACTTAGTGACAGATATGAAGGTGGAGATTGATAGAATTTTGCACAATCAATAATTTATTAATTGTAAATACATTTTATAAGAAACGTAGGCTATACACATGGATTTCACCTGATGGTATGCATAGGAATCAACTCTATAGCATCTGTGGAAATAGTCGCTGGAGAAGCTGTGAAAACTAAGCCAGTTGCTGATTGTGGAACAGACCACCAACTACTCATATCCAAGTTCAAGCTGAAGCTAAGAAAAATTAAATCAAATCCATGGGAACCAAGATATGACCTTGAGACGACCCCACTTGAATTTCAGAACCATCTCAGGAACAGATTTGAGGCCCTGAACACCAATGAGCAAAGACCAGATGAGCTGTGGAAGGATATCAAGAGTATCATCCAGGAGGAGTGTAGGGGGTCACTACAAAGACAAAGTAGGAAGAAAAGACCAAGGTGGATATCAGAAGAGACGCTGAATATTGCACTAGAGCATAGAAAAGCCAAAGTAAAGGGAGGAAATCAAGATATCAAGGACCTGAACAGAAGATTTCAAAGGACAGCGTGGGAAGACAAAGGAGTGTATTATAATGAAATGTGCAATACTTAAGGATGTTTTGAGCAGAATATTAAATGATCCAGGAAGCATTAAAAAAGATGGAAAGAGTATACAGAGTCCTTGTACCAAAAGGTATTGGAGGACACAGAAGAATTTCATAAAACAACATAGGAGCAAGAGCTTGTTCTGATGAAGAAATTCAAGCTGCTCTGAAAGAATTGACAAAAAAAAAATGCCCCAGGAGTTTACAGCATGTCAGTTGACATATTTCAACAAATAGATGCTGTCCTAGATGTGTTCACCAAGTTGTACCAAGAAATCTAGAGGATAACCACCTGGACAACTGACTGGAAGAGATCTATATTTGTTCCCATTTCAAAGAAATGTGACCCAACAGGGTGCAGAAATTATAAAAAAAAAATCTCATTAATATCAGATGCAAGCAAGATTCTGCTGAAAATTATCTAAAAATGACTGGAACAGCACATCAACAGAGAACGACCAGAAGTGCAGGTTGAGTTTAAAAGAGGCTGTGGTACTAGGACTAGTATAGCTAATGTTAGATGGATCTCGGCTGAAAGCAGGGAATACCAGAGGAATATCTATCTGTGTTTCATTGACTATGCAAAGGCATTTAACTGTGTGGATCACAACAAACTGCGGCAAAATCTGAGAAGAATGTGAATTTCAGAACACTTGACCGTGCTACTGTGAAACCTATACTCGGACCAGGAGGCAGTTCTCAGAACAAAGCACAGAAAAACTGCATGGTTCAAAATTAGGAAGAGTGCATTGGGGATGTGTCCTATCTCCATACCATTCCAATCTATATGTAGAACAGATTATCCGGGAGACTGGGCTCTATCAAGATTGGAGGAAGACTCATCAACAATCTGTGTTATGCAGATAACAAAACCCTGCTTGCCAAAACTGAGGAAGACCTGAAGCTCTTGCTGCAGAAGGTCAAGGACAGCAGCCTTCAATATAGATTTCTTAGTGCTACAATCAACTCTCTTGGTCCCAGCAGCCAGAAAATTAAACGACAAACTGCATTGGAAAAAGCTGCTGTCAGAGACCTCTGGAAAGTACTTTAAGAGCAACAGTGTCAGTCTGGAGACTAAGGTGCACCTGATACAGGCCATAATCTTTGCAATTACTTGCTTTGCAACAGAAAGCTAGACAATAACTAGGTATGATAGAAGGAAAATTGATGCCTTTGAGTTATGGTGCTGAAAAAGAGTATTGAATAGACCATGGACTGCAAGGAGAACAAATAGGCTCATCCTAGATAGGGAGAGACCAAGCTGTTCCTTGGAGGCAAGGATTCTGAAACTTCATCTGACATACTTTGGACATGTTGCAGGGAGGGACCAATCATTGGAGAGGGTCTTCATGCTTTTCAGGGTAGAGGGACAGCGCAGGAGAGGAAGCACCTCAATGAGATGGACTAATTCAGTTACTGGGGTAATGGAGTAGGTGTGTCAGAGACAGATTGGAACAAGATAGAGCAGATTTTAGGGCTGTTTAGGGTCATTATGAGTCACAGGTGCCTCAATGGCACACAACAACAACAACAGCAGCAACAAATATTTATAGGAAAAACGAGCCTCATCTTTCTCCCTCAGAACAGCCAACTTTTGATTAGTGGCCAAACATATAACATGTAACACTAGTGCTCTTCCCAAAGGGTGGCAGAGTAGTCCACAGTATGTTACACTGCCAACCCAAAGGCCCCACCTCCCTACTGGCTCAAATCCACCAGGAGCTTCGCAGGGGAAAGATGGGCAAACTCCTTTCAAGCCATTTACAACCTCAGAAACCTCCTGAAAGGTCAGCTAAGAATAGTTTCTGACTTGATGACATGAGCATCATAAAAATTATCCTGTGAGATACCATTTGACCCAGCAATTCCACTACTGGGAATATACCCTAAAGAGACCAAAACTGCCACCCAAGCAGATATATGCACACCCATGTTTATTGCCGCTTTGCTCACAATAGCAAGGAGTTGGAAACAACCTAGTCCCCATCAACAAACAAATGGATAGAGAAGCTGTGGTGTAT